ACGAGTGTGAGCACAGAGGGAGAGGGAGAAGCAGACTCTGCCGAGAAGGGAGCCCAATATGGAGCTCAATCCCAGGACCCTGAGATAAGGACCTGAGCCGAAGGCAGATGCTAACCGACTGAACCACCCAGGTGCCCCTGTCTGATTCATTTCACTTAGCATTATGTCCTCCAGTTTCATCCAAGTTGTTGCAGATGGTAGGATTTCCTTCTTTCTCATGACTGAATAATATTCGGTTCTATATATATATACCACATCTTTATCCATTCATCCATCGATGGACACTAAGGTTGTTTTCCATATCTTGGTTATTGTGAATAATGCTGCAATGAACATGGGAGTGCAGATATCTCTTTGGGGTAGTTATTTCATTTCCTTCAGATATATACCCAGAAGTGGGACTGCTGGATCATATAGTTCTATTTTTAATTTTTTAGTTTTTGTTTTGTTTTGTTTTTTTAAAAGATTTTATTTATTTGAGAGAGAGAGAGAGGGAGAGGGAGAAGCAGGCTCCCCACTGAGGAGGGAGCCTGATGTAGGGCCCGATCCCAGGAGCCTGGGATCATGACCTGAGCCAAAGGCAGATGCTTAATCAGTTGAGCCACCCAGACACTCCTATTTTTAACTTTTTGAACAACCTCCATACTGTTTTCCATAATGGCTGTACCAATTTACCTTTTTTTTTAAAGATTTTCTTTGTGAGTAATCTCTACACCCAAGGTGAGGCTCGAACTTACAACCCCTAGATCAAGAGTCACACACTCCACTGACCAAGCCAACCAGGTGCCCCTACCTTTTTTTCTTTATTAATCTTTTATAACATCTAATTTGTCTCTCACCTTTACCTATATAGCAGTCAATGATCTTATTCATCTTTTCTCTTTTTCTTTCTATTCTCCTTCCATTTTTACTTGTTTTTCTACTTTGTCAGAACAACTTGATGTTTATACATTATCCTTCAACCCATGACCTCAGCCTTTAGTCTTAGCTTTACAATAAGTATATGAAATGCTCACTGTTAGGCTTTGCCAAAATTTTCCTATTCATTGGTTTTGGTCGGATGAAGCTCATCATTTGGTATAGTGCTGGCCAATAGAATTTCCTACAGTGATGAGCATGTTCTGTATCTCGGCTGTCTAGGACTGTAACTAGCCACATGTGGCTATTGAACACTGGAAATATGCCTGATGTGACTGAGAAACTGAATTTTCTGTGTTATTCCATTTTAATTAATCAAAACTTAAATTTAAATAGCCACGAGTGGCTACCAAATTGGACGGTGCAGCTCTATTAAATTCCTTAGGAAGGGCACAAGTGTTTTGGCACACTCCGCTCTTCTTCTAATAGCCTCGATACTTGAAGAGTTATCAAGTATAAAGCATAGAATTTCCTTTGTACTTTTTTCCCGTAACTTTCTTGAAAATACTGTATTACTATTGCTTTGTTTTTGAGAAATTGATGCCAGTTTAATTCTGTCTTGGAAGTTATTTCATCTTTTTGCTTAGAGGCCCTGATGAAAATTTTCTTTGTCTTTAAATTCTAATTGTTTTATTAAGATATATCTCAGAGTTGGTTGTTCCAGGTCAATTTTCCTTGGTATCCAACGGGGCTTTGATTATGTTGAGGTTTGTTTTATGATGCCGGGTATGTACTGGCATGGTGAATGTTCCATGTGTACTTGAAGAAACTTAATTTCTATATTTTTGAGTGGAATGCTCTGCAAAGTGAATTGGTTGGTTGGTGATGTTCAGTTTTTCTATATTCCTGTTGACTTTCTGTCGACTAGTTACTTTTACTAGTAATAGAAGTGTTGAAAGTCAGCAGCCATAAGTGTGGATTTGCCCATTTCTCCTTTTAGTTCTTTCAGTTTTGTTCATGTATTCTTTTTTTTTTTAAGATTTTATTTATTTATTTGACAGAGACAGAGACAGCGAGAGCAGGAACACAAGCAGGGGGAGTGGGAGAGGGAGAGGCAGGCTTCCCCCCGAGGAGGGAGCCCGATGCGGGGCTCGATCCCAGGGCCGTAGGATCATGACCTGAGCCGAAGGCAGATGCTTAACGACTGAGCCACCCACGTGCCCGAGTTTTGTTCATGTATTCTGAGGCTATTTTATTAGGGCAGTCTCCCCCACAGTCCTGATCCCTCATGATCCCCTCCATGGTCTTTTGGCTGGACAGTTAGGGCTTTAGTCTCTCCACTTTGGCACTCACTTTCTATAACTGCATTTGCCCTTGGGGACAAGTGGTGGGAGGTTAGAGAAAAGGCAATGGGGATCCTTTCTACACGCTTCAGACAACTATTCTCCTTGCCAAAGAAAAGGATTTCTCTTCCTTAGAGTGTGAGGTGTCTGCTGCTACAAGGTTGCAGCTTTGGCTCTGGGGCTCACTTTGGGGCAGGAGTGCATGAAAAAAAAAACCAACAGGATTTCACCCATTTTCTCTGTCCCACAGTACCCTCCTCCTTCAAGCTTCATGTAATTCTGGTGTCCCTGCTGTCTCAGTACTTACTTGGTGCTTCTCTCAAGCTCTTTATTTTTTCTTAGCCATCCAGTTTATTCTGGTGGCTACTGAAGTGTTACTGCCCCCCATTCCTTGGCCTCTCCTAGCCTTCTCTTCTGAGCTTCAGAATCATATATCCACCTGCCAGCTGGGTGTCTATCAGTATGTGTCATAAACACTCCAGCTGAGGTCCAAGATCTATTTTAATTTCCCCTTCTGCCAACCTAGTATCTCTCTTGTTTTGCTGATCTCAAATCTATGGCACCAGCCTCAACCCATCTGCTCACGCCATTTTTGGGGGAGTTAATAGTCTCTGCTTTTCCCCCACTTGACAGTACTTCTGTATAATTTGTGAATATAAATATATTGTGGGAAGGTCAGAAAATATTCTGATGGTATAAGGAGTCAAGTGTCTTAGAGACTGATCATCTGGAGAAAAAAAGAGTCGAAAATCCCTCCACTCTCTGGCCCCTGAATGTCTCTACAGCCCTTTATTTCATCATAGCCTGAAGTGCTGTTTTTCTGTCATACTGTCATATGTGGTTCCATAACTCACCATGTGTATTTCATGTTTTCCTGCCTTTTCTTATGCTATTGCCCCATATTTTTTGAGGGCAATTATATTCTTGTTTAAGGATTCAAAGCTCTGTCTCCCCAAGTGAAGTTGAACCTGATAACACAAAGTGGAGTCCCATTCCATCCCTTGTGAAAGCCCATTGCACCTTGCACACATGTCTAGCACAGCTCCCATAACACCTCATTGCAAGAATGTGTTTATATACAGGTCTCTTTATTGGGGCATGAGCTCTTTGAGAATAGGCACTCTGTCTTTTTTTTTTTAAGATTTTATTTGTCAGAGAGAGAGCCAGCACAAGCAGGGGGAGTGGCAGACAGAGGGAGAAGCAGGCTCCCCACTGAGCAAGGAGCCTGATGTGGGACTCGATCCCAGGCCCCTGGGATCATGACCTGAGCCGAAGGCAGACGCTTCACCGACTGAGCCACCCAGGCGTCCCCAGGCACTCCGTGTTACTCCTTTTTGTTTACTTGTTTTTTTTTTTAAGATTTTATTTATTTATTTGAGAGAGAGAGAGCACGAGCTGCGGGAGGGGCAGAGGGAGAGGGAGAAGCAGGCTCTCTGCTGAGCAGGGAGCCCAATATGGGGCTTGATCCCAGGACCCCGGGACCATGGCCCAAGCTGAAGGCAGACGCCCAAAGGACGGAGCCACCCAGGTGCCTCTTACTCCTTTTTTTGTTTAACCAACATCTGAGACTGGTCCAGGCACATAGCGTTAACTCAGTAGTCAATAGTCTTTTCTTCATGGATTGATAAATTAACACAAAGCAGGGCTGTTTTGGATTTTCCCCCCAACAAAGTATAATATGAAGCAAGACACAGAGTCGGGTCACCAGTGTAGCTCCTGGTTAACTCTTAATAGTGCTCTATGGAGGAAATTAGTTTCCACACATCTTCTCCGTGTGTCCCATTCTGATCATTGCAGATTGTTGTTGCAGGGATCTGTGTCATTTGAGGACGTGGCTGTGGATTTTACCCGACAGGAATGGCACAGACTGGACCCTGCTCAGAGGACCATGCACAAGGATGTGATGTTGGAGAACTACAGCAACCTGGCATCTGTGGGTGAGGATTATTGTCCATGTAACTCCTGGTAGCATGTGTTTCCTTTCTTGGTTACTGTAATGTGTGCAGCCTTTGTAGACTTTAATGGTACTTTAGTTCTAGATTCAAGGGTCACAGGTGATTGATAAGTTTGGGGCACGAGGAAGAGTGTGTGTGTTGTCACTTCCCCCAATGAAAGGTTTAAATGGGCCCCCTTCCTTGTGCAGCTCATGAAGATGCACCTTCCTCCTCCATCAGAGGCCCTAAGCTCAGACAACTTGGCCCATGTCCTGTGCCATTTCCCATTAACAGGCCTCTGCGTGGCCAAACCAGAGATGATCTTCAAGTTGGAGCGAGGAGAAGAGCTGTGGATATTAGAGGAGGAATCCTCAGGCCATGGTTACCCAGGTGAGTGTGCAATAACCAGACATACAGAAACGGGAAATAAGAGCCCAGAAATTCAGGTCAAAAGACTTTGGGCAGTGTTCTTCAGTAATCTCTTTATAGAGGCCCTTGCTCTTTGAAAATGACTGGAGGTTACATAAGGTCTACACACTTCACACGTAAATCACACATGCCATTGTTTTGCTCACACTTAAGTACTCTGTCCTATTTTATTTTGATTTCTTTAGTTATCTACCACTCTTATCTACCCCTGCCTGCCTCATCTAAGACATTCTTAGCTGGTCTGTCTCTCTTTAGTATTCTAAATTGCCTTCCTTCCCTCCATTGCCTTGGATGCCTTCTGTTGTCAGGCCTTCACTCATTCATTCATTTAGTGTTCGACCAAATCTTAAATGAGTATCAGCTCTAGCCTACGGCCATACCACCCTGAACGCGCCCAATCTCGTCTGATCTCGGAGGCTAAGCAGGGTCAGGCCTGGTTAGTACTTGGATGGGAGTATCAGCTCTAATCTGGTCATATTCGAGGTGTAGGGGTCCAGCAGTGAATAAACTAGTATCTCTGTTCTCCTGGAGCTTGCAGTCTGATGAGGGAAAGAGACCAGAAACAAATACATGATGTTTGAAAATCAGTGCAAGGTAAGTTAGATAACGATGGTTGTGTGCTTGTAGAGAATGTGCTCAGGGAAGACTTTTTGGTGAGGTTAACATTAGTGCTCCAACATCAGTGATGCGAGAGAGACAGAACCATGTAGATTTTGAATATTCTGGGTAGAGAGAATAGTACGTGTCAGGCCTGGCCTGAGTGATATATCCTAAAAATAGCAAAGAGGCCAGTGTAGCTTAATGTGGGTGGTGAGAGTGGTAAGAGGCAATATGAAGAGAGTTAGCTAGGGGCCAAATTATGTAGAGTTTTTTAGGCTATGTTAAGCGCTTTTTAATAGACTATTTTTTTAAATTTTTTTAATTTAAAAAAATTTTTTATTGTTATGTTAATCACCATGCATTACATCATCAGTTTTTGATGTAGTGTTCCATGATTCATTGTTTGTGCATAACACCCAGTGCTCCACGCAGAATGTGCCCTCTTTAATACCCATCACCAGGCTAACCCATCCCCCCACCCTCCTCCCCTCTAGAACCCTCAGTTTGTTTTTCAGAGTCCGTCGTCTCTCATGGTTCGAATAGACTATGTTTTATAGGCTTTGTTAAGCACTTTAATTTGATACTGTAACAAGGGAAGCCATTGTTGAGTTTTCAGTGAAAGTGATCTGATTTGTTTTTAAAGGATCTCTCTCAATGCTGTGTGGCAACAGTTCTGTTGGGGGTAATGCCGTCAGGCATGATAATGACCTTCGGCATCAGAAGATTCAAACTTTGGATCAAGCTGTTGAATATAATGGATATGGGAAAGTCTTCTACAAGAAAACAGGCTTTGTTGGACATAAAAGAACACACACAGGAGTAAAAAACTTTGGATGTCATGAATGTGGGAAAACTTACTGCAGGAAATCAAATCTTATTGAACATCTGAGAATACACACAGGGGAGAGACCTTATAAATGTGGTGAATGTGCAAAGACCTTTAGTGCAAGATCATACCTCATTGCTCATCAGAAAACTCACACAGGGGAGAAACCCTTTGAATGTAACGAATGTAGGAAATCTTTTGGCAGGAAGTCACAACTCATTCTACATCAGAGAACACACACAGGAGAGAGACCCTATGAATGTACTGAATGTGGGAAAACCTTTTCTGAGAAGGCAACCCTCATGATTCATCAGAGAACTCACACAGGAGAGAAGCCCTATGAATGTAGTGAATGTGGAAAAACATTTCGAGTTAAGATATCCCTTACCCAACACCAGAGAACTCACACAGGGGAGAAACCATATGAATGTGGTGACTGTGGGAAAAACTTCCGTGCAAAGAAATCCCTAAATCAGCATCAAAGAATTCACACAGGTGAGAAACCCTATAAATGTGATGAATGTGGGAAGTTCTTCAGAATGAAAATGACTCTCAATAATCATCAGAGAACTCACACAGGTGAAAAACCCTATCAATGCAATGAATGTGGGAAATCTTTCAGGGTACACTCATCTCTTGGGATACATCAGCGAATTCACACAGGAGAGAAACCTTACGAATGTAATAAATGCGGTAATGCCTTTTATGTGAAAGCACGCCTCATTGAACATCAGAGAATGCATTCCGGAGAGAAACCCTATGAATGTAGTGAATGTGGAAAAATCTTCAGTATGAAGAAATCCCTTTGTCAACACCAGAGAACTCACACAGGAGAGAAACCCTATGAATGTAGTGAATGCGGAAATGCCTTCTATGTCAAAGTACGCCTCATTGAACATCAGCGAATTCACACAGGAGAGAGACCCTTTGAATGTCAAGAATGTGGGAAAGCCTTTTGCCGGAAAGCACACCTCACAGAACATCAGAGAACCCACATAGGCCGGCCCTTGTCTTGTACTATGGAGAAAGCTTCTTTGTGAAGACTCCCATCACCATCTGATCAAGCCCTTCGGGTCATCTGGTCACCACGCACACAGAGTACACCTGTAACAATTTGGCTTCTACACTGGTGTGAAAATACATCCTGATTCCCGTTAGGGGATAAGCTCATTGTTGTTTTCATTTCGTTTGGATTTCCCTAATTAATGGTGAGGTGGAGTAGCTTCTTACCTGTTGATTGGCCATTTGGGTTTTTTCTTCTCTTCGCTGACTGTTCTATATCCTTTGCTCATTGTTTATAATGGGCTGCTTATTTTTTACTTCTTGGTTTAAGTGTCATGTTTGTTTTTTAATATATGAGAATATAAAAGTCTTTTTCAGTCATGTGTTACAGGTATCTCCTCATGGACTGTGCCTGGTTATTTAACTTTGTTAAGTCTTCTGCTGAGGTTTTATGTTCGAATATTATCAGGTTCAAGGTGATAATGTTCTATTCTTTCCTGTAAAGTTAAGGTTTTCCTTTCAACATTGAGAATTTTTCATCTATCCTGAAAGTTTTTTTGTGTATAGTGTGAATTGTACAGTATATAATACTCTGTTGCTTTTAAAAACTTTACATAAATGGTATTACATGATGTTGAAAGTTCTGCAGCTTGCTCTTTTCATGCAGTGTTACCTTTCCAAGGTCTATCCATGTTGACAAATGTAGGTCTGGTTCATTCGTTTCTCTCTCCATTCCCCTGGTGCAAGACATTTGTATCGTGTCTGTTTGGTGTCTAAATCTAAAAGTGGAACTGATGGGTCACAGAGTGTAGGCAGTGTTTAAGTTGTTGAGCTCTTGTACCCTAGCTCCAATGCGCCCCTTCTACACTGTGCTTTGTGATGCTCGGGCTGTGACTCTACAAAACATGTTTCTGTCTTGCCATCTGCTTCCTGTTGGGCCTTGCCAATAAGAAATACTAAATATAAACTTTGGGGGTGAGGAAGGAAGAAGGGACCTGTTCCTTTTTTTCCCTTCCTGTTAGCTCCCTGTTCATCTGAGTGTCAGCCCGGTGTTGCTTCTTCCCTTGGCCAGCAGCACTTCCTCGGGGTGGTAGTAGTTTAATCCAGGTTATGGATTTCCAGCACTCACAGAACAGCCTACGGTACCCCACCCACCCCCTCAGAGACACTAGCAGCGGCTGGCAGTGCCACCTCCTTAGAGGTATGAGTCCCACCCACATGACACTACTCCTCCACCTTTTCAATGTTTAATAATTCCAGTTTCTTCCCTGGTTAACCTTAGCCCAGCTGCTTCTTGCAGTTGCTACCTCCATGATAATTTTGTTCTCTTTCTGTCTTTTCAGTTACATGGTTAATAATTTTGTGACTAGTTAAAAATTCTTTATAATAAGTTCTTTTCACTACCATAACCAGTAATGTTTCTGTCCCCTAGCTGGGTTCTTCAGATTGATACAGAAGTTTTTCAGCTTTGTTAAATAATTGGATTTCTTCCCTCTAGGTTGTACTAATTTATACTCTCATGAGCAGTTTGAGATGAAGTTTACATTTTCCCATGTATTCACCAGGACTTATTATCAGTCTTTCAAATTGTTGCCAATCTGAAAGGTGTAAAATGGCTTTAAGCCATTGTATCCATGAATATGGTTTGTCTATATTTTATCTTTTAACTCACTGTTTTGACCTTCAATAGTATTTTGTGGTTTTCTCCAAAAAATTGTCTTTTAAAGCTAATTTTTAATAGAAACTTCACTCATATACCTGTATGTACATATATATTTCAAAATATAATAATGTATTATGGGGTTTATATAAATATATATATGTAATATATACACACATATATACATATACACACACACACACACAGATACATGCTTATATATCCCCCGAAAACATTTTTGTTTTATATGTTCATTTCATTTTACACACATGTTTACCACCTTGGTTGCTCTTCATTCCTTTCTGCATTCCATCCAGGATCATTTTCTTCTTTGCCTGAAAAATACCCTTTAGTTTAGTGACAAACCTCTCAACTTTGAGAATGTTTTATTTTTAAAGCTCATCTTTTTATTTTTTTTATTTTTTAAGTAAGCTCTAGGCCCACCATGGGGCTTGAACTCATGACCCCAAGGTCAAGAGTCACATGCTCTACTGACTGAACCAGCCAGGCACCCTGAGAATGTTTTCTAATGCACCATTTTGATCCGCAAAAGTGAATCCTTTACCGTTAGTATTTGGTAGCACCATGCTAAATTGATGCTAAATTAAATACATGTTTTTGTTTTGTTTTCTGGATGTTTCATAATAAATAGAAGACCCAGGATATTTGAATTAATCATCAGATGCCCCCAAATACAGCATACACTTGAATGTATGTATTACACTTTATGCATTTTTTAAACAGCATGCCCTCACCCTCATTTACTGAGTATTAATTACATTTATCAAGATGTTATCTTATTGATTCTTTTAATCTTCAGCTCATCTATTTAAAAATTTTCAATTTTATGTTTTAAAGTTATTATTATTATGGAAAATGTCAAACATAAAAAGAAGTAATCTATAGTGACAGAAAGCAGATTGGTGGTTGTTAATCAATGGGGATTAACTCCTAAGGGTAGCAGGGAACTTCCTGGGGTGATAGAACGATTCTGTATCTTGATTGAAATGCATATTAAGTTATCAAATGAGTAAATTTCAGATTTGTGCACTTTATTGATATAAATTATATCTCAATTAAAATTTAAAAACAACAGGGGCGCCTGGGTGGCTCAGTTGGTTAAACCGCTGCCTTCAGCTCAGGTCATGATCCCAGGGTCCTGGGATCGAGCCCCACATCGGGCTCCCTGCTCATGCAGGAAGCCTGCTTCTCCCTCTGCCTGCCGCTCCCCCTGCTTGTGCTCTCTCCCTCTCTCTCTCTCGCTCTCTCTGTGTGTCAAATAAATAAATAAAATCTTTAAAAATAAATAAATAAATAAAATAAAATAAAATTTAAAAACAACAATAAAAGAGTTACCTGTTCCCACACCAGGAGCCAGATGTGGGCTTCCAGGGAGAAAACCAGGAATCTTGACCACTAGATCAGATAAAAGACACTGGCAATGGGAGACTTAGTCCTCCCAAGGCTTTAGAAATGGCCTTGCTGCATGAAGATGACCTTCACTGAGGCCCCGTGATGGGTTGTGCTCACCCTCAGTTAGTAACCATTACTTGTGTAGTGATCCCTCACTGCCAACACTACTGTGTGTATTTGACTCCTAATAACTTAAGCACAATCCCTCTTGATCTTCCATTAGCCACCACCACAGTAGTTTTTACCCCCAGGATATGTCAGCATGGTGTCTACTAATACCCCATTAACTTAGAGCACTTCTTTTCACTTCTATTAGCCTAGAGCACAGTGTCTGTACGATGACCTACCATCAGCTCACAATATCTTGTCTTATCAAAACCTTTTGCTCCAGCAAAATCTGCTGACTCCGCATTAGCTCATAGCATCGTGTCTCACCACCCCTTTTAGCTGCCATTACAATTTTTGCTGACCCGTTTGCTCACAGCAGGGTGTCTTTTCATCCCTTTAGCCTCCAGCTTCATCACTGATGATCTTCCATTAACTCAATATCATGGGTTTTTTTTTTGCCTTCCTTTAGATTCAGCATGGTGACTGCTGACCTCCCATTAACTCACAGTAATGTGTCTTGTCACCTTCCTTTAGACCTAATGTAGTGTCTGTTGACCTTGGCTACCATATAATATATTCAACCCCATGTGTTCTAATCACAGTGTCTGCTAATCCTATATTGGATGCTATCATTATGGTGATGTTTATTACCACCAATAGTCAGTGTCTGACCCCCCATGAACCCATAGCATAGTGCAATTGCACTAGTATCCATCTGCTCTTCCCCAGTTATCCACCAGTGTGGTGAATTTGATCCTTCTGAGCCCCAGTAGAATATCTGCAGAACTCAGACGACCTTGTCACTCTGTCTTTCGATCCCCTGTTTACCAAGCTTCAAGATTTTTAACCTTGAGACCCAGTGGTGTCTGCTTAAAATAGCCCCCATCACTGTGTCTTCTGACCCTACACTATAGCCTATCAGTGTATCTGCTGACCATACACCAGTGTCTTTTGATTGATTGATTGATTTTTTAAAAAGATTTTATTTATTTGACAAAGAGAGCACACAAGCAGGGGGAACGGCAGGCAGGAGAGGGAGAAGCAGGCTCCCTGCTGAGCAAAGAGCCCGACGGGCTCTATCCCAGGGTCCGGGGATCATGACCCGAGCCGAAGACAGATGCTTAACCAACTGAGCCACCCAGGGGTCCCTTATTGATTGATTTTTAAAGATTTATTTATTTATTAGAGAGGGAGAGAGAGCATGAACACAGTGGGGAGAGGGAGAGGAAGAGAGAATCTTAAGCAGACTCTGTGCTGAGCATGGAGCCCGACATGGGGCTCAATCTCATGACCCTAAGATCACTAGCTGAGCCAAAACTGAGTCAGAAGTTTAACCAACTGTGCCACCCAGGCACCCCAAAGTGTCTTTTGATTTATTAGCCATTGGCAGAGTATGAACTCCTTGAGGATGCATCACCATGTTTTTCGTCTTTACAGTAGTCAAATCATTGTTTCTGCTAAATCTCCTCCCTTTAACTACTAATATTGTGTCTTTGACCAGTTGAAGCCTCAGTAAAGTCTGCTGACTCCACATTAGCCCCTATCGTGGTGTCTGTTGATCCTCCATTAGCCAACAGTAGTTTCTTTGACACCCATGAGGCCCCAGCAATGTATTTGCAGATCCTACTTAGCTACCATCCCGCTGTCTGCTGCTCCCCAGTTAGCCACAAGAGCTGAGACTAACTTCCATGAACTTCCAGTACAGTATCTGCTGTTTCCACATTAGCCCCACTTTGCTGATCACCCTTTAGCCATAACTGCAGTGTCTTTGACCCTCCTAAGTTCCAGTCGGGGTGCTTGTGACTGCATGAACCCTCATCACTGTTCCTGCTGATCCCTCATTAGCCACTAATACAGCGTCAGAATGCGATGATGCCCTGGCAGAATATGTGTTGACCATACATTAGAGTTCATCACTGTGCATGCTATAACATCATATTAGCCTCAACACTGACTGTTCATTAGTTTAATCTTTGCCTCATGCTTCTCAGTCATGGCATCTGTTGTTGACCCTGTATTAGTGTCATCACTCTCTACCAATATCGGTCACAAATACAGTGTTTTTGATCATAAAAAAATCAGCCCTTAGCCCTTAGTCACTCTGCTGATTAGCCATTAACCACCACTAAAGTGGTTTTGTCTCTATCTCAGCATCAGTTCATTTACTACCCCTATCCCTGTGGATGCTGGTCCCTCATTATTCCCTAGTACTGTGTATTGGTATGAACCTCATCATAATGCTTGGAACTCATTAGAGCCTACGCTACATTAG